AGAAAATACTTAACTAATTTTAAAAATCCTTTAATCTATGGAAATGATGATATAAGCTGTATTTTATTCTTTTTACCCATGAGAAACCGGGGCGGGTCGCTAGTAAGGGTAGGTAATATATAGCAGTAAGGGAGAAGGGATTGTTAGTAATGGAGAGGTTAGTTCCCATTGCTATCAATATACTCTATCAGGTTGACCACCACGTGGTTCCCCCTGGAAACCATCGTGACTAATTTATCATAAATTTTTAACACGATGGGCTAATAGATCTGCCTTTTCATCATCACCAATCGTCCCTCACTAGTGCCCACTAACGTATATCAGTAGCGCAGACGGGGTTATCATTACATTATCATCTTTTAAAGATATATTGCAATATCTATATATTTTAGTTATAATATAATTACGAAAGAGATTTATCAAGCAAGAATGAATGGAGATGTCGGTAGGGGCCGCCCTAGACGGACGTATGTCGACCAAAGTACCCGTAACCGGCGAGCGTGTATGAAAAGATTGATGGAATGTGGAGGAAGCGAAAGAGGTTTGTTTAAATCCAAGCATTTGGCGTTCCATTGTTTCTGCCTACCCTAATGGGAGACAGGCGTGACAGATATGTATGTATATATATATTACATACATACATTGCCCTAATAACAGATATATTTATTATTGGTTTTCCAATATATAATATCGAAAAGAAGAACCCGCTCGTAAAACATATAGATATCCAACTGGTATAGGCAATATTGCAATAAGTAGTTATCAATATCCAGTAGAACTCAACATATAGATATCGGATATTACCCATTCCTAGTCGCTAGTAATATATACTATGCTGTTCCGATACCTTTCATGCCTTGTCATATCTGAGGTGTTATTGTGTAAGAGATTACACTTGTCTTGTTACATTTAACTCGAAACGAAATAAAGCACGTATTTTTGCTTCACGGTGGAAATATGCAGGGCCATTTAAAACGAAGATAAGTAGAAAGACGTATGATTAACAGAGTTTAGTCAATCGGTATGAGGTAATATCGGAATTATTTTCAAAAACGATTTCATATATTTTCAGCCATTTCGAAACTAACCACCTGCCCCGGCTTCGCACGTGTAAAGATAATAAAATACTGCATAATGTTACTAGCTGATAATGTAGCTTTATATAGGTGAGAGATTTTAATATATTTTATAATGTATTTTAAAATAAACTACATAATAAATTGTGAAATATATATTAAAAAATATATTAAAAATATATTTTATCTATATTTCATTTCTTTTTAGCAAAGACATAGCAATAAGTAGAGTTGTGACCATTTTGTGTTACTATAAGCACACGCATGAAGGGAAAAATTGTTACTTCTTTTATGCATTTTTTTATTATTTTTGTACAAGTATTCTTTTATCTTTTTTTATTTTATTTGTGTGCTGTAAGTTATGCAGATAAATTATCTATTTTATCTATTTAAAATCCCACCAATAATAAACTGTCATAAATCCCGTTCCTTATGACAGTCTATGGAGGACGTTTGATTGCTCTCAGCAGAAATACCGCCTTACTGTACTTACACAACTGTATCGTTATATTTATTAATTGCCTTGCTTATTCCCTATATTGTATAATGCAAATAAAGTATACTCATTCATTCATTCATTCATGTCCTATATTCAGCAGTCGTCAAATAACGACTGATCTGATGATGATTGGCCGTGTAGTCACGGTATAGAATAGGCCACCCCTTCCTTTCCTGTAGGTGTCGCAAGACGTGGCTAAGAGAGGGCAAGGGATGGACAGCAACATCCCTCTTAAAACATCTCTAAAGCCTAACCGCGGTTGCTAATTCGCTTGTCAAGCGTGATAATTACTGGCAGTATCCCCCAAGGGGAAGGTTTATATTTACCAGCGGACAACTAAAATCTAATATGATGATGATGATATTGATTTAGTTAATTATCAAAAAGTGCTCTAATAGTGACATAAATCTTTAATCATTTCAAAAAAATTCGTATAAAGCTGTTATTGACAATTTGAATTTTCATGGTCAAAAACTAAGTTAAAGAAAACGAAAGTTAATTTCAGCTATCATTATTCACTCATACCCTATCAGCGTATTTTAATAGTATAGATAGATAGAAAGAAAGAATGAAAGAAAGAAAAAAGAAAGGAAGATATAAATATTTAGTTTGGGCTTAATTTTACACTTACATAATTACAAAAAGTATGATAGGGTTACTATTCTATTTAATCCCACAAAACCTATGTGATTTGGAATGGGATGAGTTATGGTGAGGCCCGATGTTGTGGGATCAACCTTATATGATGAGATTTACCCGTAAGTATAAGTAATGAAATTCATGTAATACTAGTTTTTATCGCTGACTTCGTCCACGTGACCGTGTCAATCTTGATTGATCAGGATAAAATGTAAATTATAACCTTTCCTATCCCAAGTACACATATATAAGTAATATTTATTTATTTTAAACTTTAATGCACAATTATATAACTACATATGGCGGATTTAACATCTAACGGCGTTTTCTCTACTAGTTAATCATGAGGAAACACAAAATTAAGTAGGCGGTGCATTTACTACTAAAATAAGTACAAATATACCAATACATACATAAATACATGCATAAATATATATACTTACCTACACAAATACATACATATAATATACAAATATAATACTAATGATGATAGACAAGAATAGCAGATAAAAGAAAATAAGCCCAAAAAATACCTACGATTGAAGCAAAAAGTACAAATAAGAAGCAAAAAGAAAGAAGAGAGAAACAGAGATATAACAATGTATTACAAGTTTTTAAAAAAGTTATTAATAGATTTAATGTAAAGAGGCAGTGCATTCCAGTGTTTAATGGCTTGAGTGGCGAAGGAATAGGAAATAGGAACAGTGCGATGAGTTGAGATGTAAAGAAGTTGCTTCCTACTTATATATATATATATATATATATATATATATATATATGTAACAAACAAACTAATAGTCACATTTATAAGTAAGTTAATATATTTTGTATCACTTGCTTCTTCCAGTTAAGTGAATACAAAACAAAACAAAATTCATGGCACACAACAACAATTTCATGGAGCCTGCTTCCAATTGATTTTTGTGCAACTTAAAATGCCAAACGAGCTGATGGCCCACCAAATGGAAAATGGTATCTTTCGCCTAAAAACATGAACAGTACCACGGATATACCAGAGTATACTACGTCGCCCATGATAACACCATGCGTTGCCATTTTTGAGGACTGAAGTGTTATACCTCTGTATCTTGTAATGTCATTGCTGTACTAATATAATAATTATTAATTTAATTAAGTGTGATTACTCATGCAAAAACAACTGCTTCACGGCTAAAAAATGAATGGGACACCGATAAGCCACCAAGCAGACGACTTTTGCACAAAGTCTTCTTTTGGTAAATTTTGATTTTGGTATATTTTATCAAACTTCCCTCAGACCCATTAATTACAGAACACTCTCTAAGTTCTAGTTATGTTTTATGTAAATTACATTCAGGGTATTATCTGTACTCGGTTGAACCAATTTAGGAAACTAACTTTGGTGATTAACGCGGAATGTAACCATGGGTTATGGTAATTACGTAACATCAGGCGAGCCGTGTGCATGTTACTAAATATTTGAGAGAAGTACATCTTTAGATTTTAGTACGTAAGTAGATTGTACTAAGTCTATGAGTACATCAGAGATTCTGTCCTATATTTTGTTATTTTTTTTATATTATTATATTATATTTTTAATTGTATTATATACGCGTAAATTTCAGAAGTGGGAAAACCAATGAGGTTTACTTCTAGATGGTATCAAGATGAAATATAAACGGAAATTTATTTTTTCAGGTAAACAACTCAGTGAAAGAATTCAATTTGTTGTAGTTTTAGCATAATGCCAGAATATATACATATATACAAGTAGAGGGACTGACAAATATTCTAAAAATTATTATTTTAGTTTCTGTTGCTTTTATTACGACTCTATATATATTTTTTCCCTATATTTCTACCACGTTTGTATACAATTTTATTATAAATAATTTAATTTTAATAATTGTGTTAATTTAAATTAATATTTAAATTTAATTTATATTACAATTCATAAATAAATAGTAATTAATGTAATCTAGCAATTGTATTCATTTTTGTTGCATGAGAAAAAATCCATAAATATGGAAAATATTTCAATATTATTAATAATAATTATAATAAAAATACATTTTCAATCGACTTTAAAAAAAGGGCTCTCGATTCGGTTGTATTTTTTTATGTTTCTCATAACTCCGTCAATTCTAAACCAAGTTGAAAAATTCTTTTTTTTTATCTTAGAGATTAGTCCCATAGAAATTTTATCAAAATCGGTTTAGTAGTTTAGGTAAATTAAAATAACTGATTATACTACAATTGAAGTTTTTTGTGGAACATAATTTTTATTTATTACTTTAATTATTTAATTAACTTTTTGAGCATTTATTTAAGTAAATTATAGTAGTTAAAAATGCTGGCGCCTATAACCTCTAATGGGATTTTCATTGGTATTTGTCGGCTATTGCCGTTGTCGTAAAGATAAAAAAATGTATTTTGTTTTTAAAAATATCTCTTTGTGTGATACATTGAGTGGACATTTTTATTCAATATCGCTGTGTGATAAGATTTTTGAATGGTAATTAAATTTATGAATTTGACTAATTGTTTTTCAAGTACATTGATTCGTGAAGCAATCACTAATTGGCACCTATAGCTAATCAAAGTGACATTAATAGCCTTAATTTTTTTTTTGTTTTCTTAATATTTTTAATTAAGTAAAAATTTATGAATTTCTTTTTATACATTAAACCCGAAGTCTGGTCACGTAAAAAATATTTCTAATAACAATAAATAAAATTATTATAATTTTTATTTGGGAATTTTTTTTCCACTTAAATAACACATAAAACAAACACAACACAACACACCTGCGTGCGCGCACAACGCGGCGACAACCTGCGCCAGTAACAACGTCTGCAACCGCGACATGACTGATTGTGCGCCGCGTGGGCAGACTGTTATATTATCAGTCGAGACAGACACTAATGGGCAAGAGTGCGACAATTCCTGGAGACGTCAAAATTGAACGAAAGTACCCAAACAAGGAGTACGTTCTATTTTTTAAATTTTTGGCGGGAATAAGCGGTATACGTCATAATTGAATGTAAGTAAAAGTAAGGACTACGTTCTATTTTTAAAGTTTATGACAATAATTAGCGTAACGTTACTAATAGGAAGAACTGTAATAAATTCTAGAGATATCAAAAATAGAATGAAAATACCCAAATCACCCATCAAAAAAAAAATAGGTTAGTTTCTATAACAACTGAGTATTTACAAAAATAATGTGATATCACAATTGATAATTTGCCTTTAAATTAAAAATACATTTTCTGATCACAAATTAATTGTACCTAATAATTTGCTGTCAAGCATCTTGATAAACAAAATCTAATGGGTGATTATGGAACGATAGCCCTACCTGCGCTATCAAGTAGGAGGTAGGGTATCTTTGAGGGATGATAGGTATGTGAGAATAAAAGCAGGTCAGTTGGTCCATCCTATCCCAATTTAATTAAAACTTATCCACGTTGCCTTTCATGGGGATATAACTCAGGGACCGACCTGATAGGATATATTACTACAGTAATGGGGCTATTTGACCCCATTACTAACAATCCCTTTTCGCCTAAAATATAACATAACACCATTTTCCATAGAAATTGATCATGAAGGGTATCGTGTACCTTAATTATTTTTTATGATGTCCATGGTGTCACTTGAGTCGACAGTTAGAACAAGTACTTTTCATCAGGTGGACCGTAAGCTTTTTGCTATTCTATCATAAAAAAAATAAGAATCGGATATAATTCATAACCTCGCCTATTGTATATCTTTGATTAAAATAATATTTATTAATGTAATTTTTAATTGTGCAATAAAGTAGAAATAAATAAATGTATACAATTATATGACGATTTAAATTTCCATACATCCACGATAACGCGTCAATAGAAAATTAAAAGAGTTTTCATACTTTTGAACCAATATTGCTTTCACAATAATTGATTTAATTTATCACTATAACATTTGGTATACAGGTACTGTTATGTGGCGGAGAAGGACATATACTAACTTTTATCCCGATCAACGAACATAATACCGAGATCAAGCAGACGAAGTCGCGGGCAAAAGCTAGTATGATAAAATAGTAATAGTAGTAATAATAATAGTATAAAAAAAAAATAAAAATTAAGCATAATTGTATGCTTCATTTTCCTACCCTATAAAAATTTGCATTTCTTGTGGTTTTTTTTAATAAGATTCTTATGCGTGTGCACATGTATAGTTCCTCGAGAAGGGGGGGGGGGGGATTTAACAGCTCCAGATAGTACTGCGTGTTGGGCACGGCCTACTCGGTATCCCATAAAAATACTTATATCCACGAAGGACCACGTGGAGGTCACTAGCTTGCAATGAAGCATTGTAATGTTGCATAGTATATCAATATAGCGGTTAGCAAAACGCATTCATTTGAAGGTAAGAGAGACAATGGTAGAAATGTATTCTGAACAGAACTGGGCCTAAAAAATAATAAAAAAGCCGGTCAAGTGGAAGTCGGATTCGTGTAATTTTTTTCCGTACAAAATTGTAGTTCGTGTAGTTCCGTACAAAATTATCATTTTTTTTTTAAATAACTACAAATTTAGAGGTTTTGAATTTTGCCCTTTATTTGTGATACATGATATTGCTTCTTGCCAAACTTTATGATATTTGGTCACGGGATACCCTTTGATTTTTTGGTATTCACACTCTTTGCGAATGTCAAAATATGCGATAAAAATGGAACATAAATGGTCGTATCTTTTGATTGCGTCGATTTAGAAGATTCATTTCTTCACTGTTTTAAAAGGTTACAACTTGATATCTCACGCGTTCCTAAGAAAAAGAATTTTAACAGACAGACGGACGGACGAACGGATGGACGAACAACGAAGTTATCCTATAAGGGTTTCGTATTTTCTTTATAGAAACCTTAAAAAAAATAAGCAACTCTGTATGTATTAAAATAACGTTGCTTTTTCATTATTCAACTAGACACATACACATACACACACATACACACACACATACACACACACACATACACACAGTCATATTTGAAACAGAATTGTGATTACATATTTAGTAATAGATAATATCAAATCACTCAAAATTATTTATATTAAGTAAGTTTTTTTTAACATACATGATAAATTGTGATTTAAATAATAAGACTGAAAGCTATTATCTGTATTTAAGTTAGCTATCTTACAAGTACAACATATGAGAAAATGTCATAACAATGTAACAAAAATATAAGAAACTAGTAGATAGGACAAGAATTTTATTAAATGAATTAGCAATTAAAGTTTTAGGTATGCCCGTAGGTGTATTTAGGTTGGGGGCCGGAATTTTTTGGTGTCTACACTAGGATCTGGAACAGAGCTTTTAGCTATGGACAAAGTTATGTTTTTATATTTTATACCACTGAAGTGACAAAGGAACATACTGCCCACCTGATGGTAAGCGGCTGCAGTAGCTTATGAACGCCTGCAAGAATGTGCGCGTTGTTGACCCTGAAGAAACCTTTTTACCCCCTTTTGAAGAACCCCACGCTGTAGTCTCTTGAAAAAACTTTGACAGGGAGCTCATTTCATAACCTGAGCGTTCGTGGTAGAAAACATCTCTGAAATTGCATTGTACGCGACCATCTACGCTCTAGTGTGAACTCCATGTCGTTCGCGAGCTGTACGATGGTAGAAAGTGATCGTGGGCATCAGATTGAACAATTCTTCTGAGCATAACCCGTTGTACAAACGGTAGAACACGTAGAGTAAAACTCTGCTAAATCTTAAGGATTCGATACCGCTTGTAAGCCTGGGATCATCGATAATTCTCATAGCTCGTCGCTGCACTAAGTTGAAGGATTCATATATTTCTAGGAGTACATATTTTTAGGGACCAGAAAAAAATATATAAATAATTATATTAGTATTGCATGTATAAAAAATAAATAATAAATATTAGCATTCAGAAATAATTAGTTAGACATACAATAATCATATTATTAAATCTTCTTATAAATTAACACTGTCTTTAACATATTTAATTATTTTATAGAACTTTTGAGAGCAGTGTCTTAATGATTAATATTCAAAGAGGAAAGCAAAGGTCCCAAATGGGAGCCTTGAAGCACACCAGAGGATACTTTTAAGATTTGTGAAGTGTGGCTCTTCACGCAAGTCGCTTGACTTCGATTATTGGTGTACGATTCGATCCACCTTACGAGACTGCCGTGTACACCGATCTTGGCCAACTTCTTGATTAATAGATTATGATTTATTTTATCAAATGCTCTAGAGAAGTCAATGTACATGATGCCCACCTATCATCGAATCAGGAAGTCGGTAAATGCCAATAAGTTTGTATCAACACTGCGATTTTTAAAATAGCTATATCGCTTTTTAGCAATATGATTACAGGCATGGTAATAAATTTGTGATGGAACTGAAATCTTTTCAAAATAGACTAAGTTTAGAAATAGGCCTTTACTCTTCTATGTGGGCTGTGAGTTTATTTTCAAATACTGTAGTTATTAATTAATTAATTGTTTGTTTAGCAGTTAGAAATGATTGAGTGAACTTTGGAGTGTGAGGTTTGATCCATTAGGTACGGACAAACTAATTTTGTTCGTGGCACCAAGAATTTTAACCTGTTTCTAATAAATTTAATATAACTAGGATAAGTCGGTAATCTTTCATCGCGAACATACTCGTACTGCCCAAACAAGCGCGCAGTTTCCGTGTCTATTTTCTTAATGGCTAAATATAAATAAGTAAAATGTAATAAATTTTTCATATTTAATTTTTCGAAGGATGCAATCATGGACATAAAAAATGTATTAATAAAAGCATTCAAACCTTTTAAAGACGGCGACTGCATCCTTTTAAATTCAGACATAACGTCTAAATGTGCAGTACTTAAGAAACGTAAATCTTGGTATCTTTCCACTAAGATATCATAAATAGCATAATAATTGTCTTTAGTAGGAGACAGATCACTAATTGAGGTCAATGCCTTACCCTCTAATAAACCAGTAAGATAATAAACCTTTTCTGAATTATTGAAATGGAAATTATTATATATGGTATTACTATAACATTCAAACGATTTAGGGTCCCTATGAAACTTCATTAATCCAATAGCTGAAAGCCGAAGCTGAGAAGGACTGAGGTTGCTTGTTTACTTTCACCAGTCCTCTTTCCACTATATGATGCAGCTATCCGTTTGTAAATATAACTCATCATATGATTGTCAAGTACTAAAATTAGGTGTTAATTTTGGGTCTGATAGCATCTAAGCTAAATTCTCAACCACTAAATTAAATTCAGACCGAAGGGTTTCAATATTAGCAGCTGATGCGAGAAACTTTTCTATATCAGTAGATATTTTTACATGACAAGATGCATCAGAAATAAGACTTTTAACGAGCCTCCAAAAGTTTATTTTTAGACGCTACTACCTCTTCTTTAGATAAAGACATAATGAATTAGCTATATATCAGTTATAAGTACCTAAATTAACAAGTTGATAAACACTAATAGATGTAGGCTATAAATTCTATTACATTAATAACAACAGTATGTAATGACATAAAATTTAATATTATAAAAAAGATATGATCACGACTCCAGTTCCTGACAAGGTAGACAGATGCATAAAATACATATTACAAATTTAAAAGCACTGAGAGGTATGTATGATGTATGTTAAGAAGACCTTTACTGGATGCTATCGGTGTTGGATTATCAACATTAAATTAGCCTATTTTTATTGAAGTATGAGAGGTAAAGCCAATATGTCCATTAAAATAACAGTCTATCCTTCTCCGTCCCATGCAGTCCACGTGTATATTAAAAATTTAAAATAAAAAAGCCAAACCAACTTTCACATTTTTTGTACTTTTTATACCACGAAGGTGGTAAACAAGCTTACAGC